CATTAATGTTTTCCATGTGTAAAACTAATATTTGTTTACCGTTCTACAAAGTGTTAATAAAGTTTAACTTCTATATTAGTTAGTCATGTTTCGTTAAGATTCTCGGCTCAGAAGTTTAAAAATTCGATTTATACCAATCTATATGAAGCATTAAGAAAGGTTTCCATATTTATGTAAAACCATGAATTGAAGATAATATCCGGTTTTAGGAACATCTCCATTCCTACCGTTAGAAGCTCCGACTGACACCAATTCAGTCGGGTTTCGATCCTAGCTAGAGGCAAACGGATGTCTAGCCGCACTGATGAGCTGTAAACAGCGAAACAGTCTGTCTGTGGATGACATTATATTAGCTCCTGAATTTGATTTCAGTTGAGCAGGGGTGGGAGTAGGGTGTGGGTTTGTAAACAGTGACTATTATAGCTAATATAGCGAGACTCTTCGCGTAAGCGAATTGAGTCACTGTCAGTCACTGGGCATGTTTACAAAAGTAAATGCGCTAAAAATCTACCTCCATTCCTACCGTGCGCCGACGGCTTAGTGGTTAGAAGCTCCGACTGACACCAATTTAGTCGGGTTTCGATCCTAGCTAGAGGCAAACGGATGTCTAGCCGCACTGATGAGCTGTAAACAGCGAAACAGTCTGTCTGTGGATGACATTATATATATATAAATGAGAGAAAGAAAAGATGGAGGAAAAACACAGTTCGCAGGGCTTATTTTTTACAAAAGTACTCAATACAAAGTAGAGCAAAATATTATTATAATATTTTTATTATAATGAATTACAATAAAAATATTTTACATAATTACAAATCAATAACGATGTAAAATATATTTTAAGTTATGCTAGATTTATGTGTTAAAGTGCTAAATAACAGGGACAGAACGTATATCTATCTATCTATCTATCTATCTATATATATATATATATATATATATATATATATATATATATATATGTAAGTGTATATTGAAGCTAACACACAGAGGTGACAGAATATTTAATGCTAAACGCATTTGACGATTTCGTTTAGCATGAAACAGACTGTCGCCTCTGGGTATTGGATTCAATTTATATATATATATATATATATATATATATATATATATATATATATATATATATATATATATATATGAGAGTTGTCTGAACAGTTCATATGCTGACTTTGGAGGAGTGAAGGAGAGATATGTAATCTTCCACGCATTAGATTCAATTCTTCTTATTGAAAACTGTATTGTTTCCTTCCATTTTTCTTTTGACATCTGATTGTTAAAAGAATTGATTGATTGACTGATTTGTTTAACAGAATATCAACTCCATATAGGTCATTTAATGCCTAAATTTAATATATATTTTATTCTGCTTTCAGAATTTAATACATTTTAAATGATACCCAGCTTTTTTTTATAGAGATGTTTGTGTGGACATAATTACTTGAGGCGATGATATATGTGTTTTTTGTTGTAGCTTTGTTGAAGTTATATTTTGGAATACAGTTGGATTTTACGAAATTGCAGGATATTATAGGGATTAATGCCATGAAAGAATTCTTTCATGTTGCTATATTGGTTGATTTTTAGCGGCATATCAACACCACTATGGGTTATTTAATGTCGAATTGTAAATATTTTGAACATTTTTTTTTGCTTCAAGAAAATATATTTTGGACGCAATTGTATGCCTTCAACTATAGATAAAATGTATTGCTATTCATTTTGCTATAAAATGTATTGTTGGTCATAAATGTGCATTCTTGGTAATTTTTCAAATCAAAAATTAATTTCTGGTACTTCATAGTGTTTTTTTCGAGGGTTCAATATTTGTCCATAGCTGAGACACTAAATGGTGCTACCACTCCGGGTCACGGTGGACCCGGAACGGAAGCAATTAGGGGTAATTTAACGCTTCTCAAAACCTCAAACCTCTCGATTAGATGCCTTGTACTTTATCCTCATACCAAGAACTGTCCAAAGAAACCTTCAGATATAACTTGTAGCGACTTCTCTTGAAAATAGACAAAATTTAGCATCATGGTGTTATCAAGATCATTCATACTGACAGGCTTGCTACATTAGAGGAAGACGCCCCAGATTTATCAACAGTGCAAAATGGGGAAGCTGAATTTTATACTCTCGTACTTTTGCGACACTTGGTTTTATTTGTTCCGACAACAATATTTTACTGACCCATGTGAGTCCGGGTCAATAAAGGCAATAAATCATGGATTTTAAATAAACAATAATATATAAATATATTAACAAAAGACGTTCAGAGTAAAAATTGTGGTCTCTAAAATATTTATAGCGATTTACAAAATACAGCATAGACGTGGCACGAAATCAATTGTATAGAGCACCCAGTTAAGATTGAACTCACTACTCAGTCGTAATTGATACAGCGAGACAAGTTTTCTAAATATTACACGATGTCGAAATACCCAAGCGATTAATCAGCGTGACTTACATGTATCATAAGGCCGCAATTATGTAGCACCCGGTGGGGATTAAACTCGCTACTCAGTCGTAATGGATCCGGCGAGTGAAGCTTGACAAGCATTATATCACAAAAGGCACATCGAAACTACTTATATACCGTGTGTTTTTCACGGTTTGTCCCTCTTGTGGTGGAAGAGAAAGAGAGCGAGAATTCAAACAGAACCAGGGGCGATAATTCTAGAAATATTAATTATCAGCGAACTTCAATAAATACTATGCATACTGTGCTGACGATGACATTTTAAAAAAATATTGAAACTGGTGTTAATGAATTCATTAAGACCAGTATAAAATGTTTATTGTAAATTAATAATCTGATAGCTGGGGAACTTTGAAGAAAGGAAATATTTGTTAGAATTTTCAAATCACAAAACATTGTACGTCGAACCTAACATGACGAGAACCAGAAAATTCAAAAGAGAAGAAAATTAGAGCCTACAGCCGCTTCTTGTTATTCGTACATCGTCCTATTCATGTAAGATATTCAGAAGAGTTGACCAATCCAATAGATGAGAAGTTGTGAATTTCAAATTTCAGAACTAGTTCTTGCACTTCAAACATTTTCCAACAAATTCCGAAGTTTTTCCAATACGACATTTGCACCTGCTTTTGGCTACATTGGGAAAGGCGTGATCTAGGATGGGGATTACGCATATAAGAAGAGTGATTTTTCATTACTGGATATTTCCTTAGGCAACACCCCAGTTCTCTCGGTCATTTTAAACTGGCTAGATCATCACGGATAAAGCGGAAAGATTTTCGTTATAATTTCTCCGGGGTCGTCTCTGAAACTCCGGCTATTTGTCCGGTAAAAGTCACTACAGATCAAGTGGCTTATGCAAGAGGGTCAAGCTGTTTCTTACCTTAAGTTTCAATTTCCTTTTGCTAAGAGCATGGCTTATTGGCGTGTCGCTTGTACTGAATACCTTCTGCCTAATAAGGATTCAGACCGTTTAATGTTTAGTCTTAAAATCTTTCTGATTCATATATATATACATAGATATGCGAGCATAACTAAAAATAAGCTATTCAGGGTGTCAGTAGGATAGTGAAAGTGAAAGTAGACGAAAGATATACTTGCCGAGAACGAACACTTTATGTTATTAGATAAATTCAAGCGACACGCTGTCACAGGGATGTGGCGTTGTTCAGAAGAAATATGACTGGATCTATTAGTTTATACTTTGGTAAATGAAGTGCATATTATTAAATATATCTTTACTGTAGCACAGAATTTCGAAGAGCCTGAAGGATGTCGGAGCAAGAAGAAATGCACCGCAGACGAATACTGGCGTAGTAAGACAGTCGCAACATACAATATTATATTTGTGGATTACTGTCATATATATATATATATATATATATATATATATATATATATATATATATATATATATATATATATCAAGGAAGGGCTAAAATCACACGCTTACACATACTGCTCTTTTCTTCTATTATATCAAACTCTTTACATACACACGCACACACTCGCATCTATATATATATATATATATATATATATATATATATATATATATATATATATATATATATATCTTCTATTAACACGAAAAAATCCAAATGAATTTGGCTGGATATTAAAAAAAAAAATTGAATTCTAAAAAAATAATTAGCCCGATGCAGCTATGGAAAACGAAACGCGTCTTACACTTTGTTACATAATTTATCCTATATATATATATATATATATATATATATATATTTAGACAGACAGACAGACTGTTTCACTGTTTCACAGATCATCAGTGTGGCTTTAAAAAAATAACGTTTAAAATTACATTAAAAATAAGTCAGATTTAATTCCTTTCTTAAAATATTGTCCTTGCTTACGTTAGGATACAAAATAGAGCAGGCATGTAATTTCTAGAATTTGGGAGCGCTCTCTTCAAGCCATACACATAGACATACACATACATACGCATATATGGATTTTACTAAATAATAGATATATTCTAATCAAACATTATTTCTCATTACTGCAAGCATTATTTAATCATGTACCCATAAAAATAACGTTTGCTGTAATAATAGATAAATAGATAGATAGATAAATAGATAGATAGATAGATAGATAGATCGATAGATAGATAGATAGATAGATGAATGGATATGAACAGATTCAGATAGATAAATAGATATGAATATATATATATATATATATATATATATATATATATATATATATATATATATATATATAGATAGATAGATAGATACATCCATACATCCATCCATACATATTTCTATACGACACATATTAAAGTCACTTTAGATTTTTGGTGTCTCTTGGTTTGTGCTCTTCCGATTGTTCAACCCTTTGAGCGTCTCAACACCTAAAAGAAATGATAGATAAATAGACAGATATATATATATATATATATATATATATATATATATATATATATATATATATAGATAGATAGATAGATAGATATAAATATGAACAGATTCAGAGAGATAGATGAATGGATGTGAACAGATTGAGATAGATAGATAGATAGATAGATATGAATATGAACAGATTCAGAGAGATAGATGAATGGATGTGAACAGATTGAGATAGATAGATAAATAGATAGATAGATAGATAGATAGATAGATAGATATGAATATGAACAGATTCAGAGAGATAGATGAATAGATGTGAACAGATTGAGATAGATAGATAGATAGATAGATAGATAGATAGATAGATAGATAGATAGATAGATATAGAAAATTTTCCAAGTACTAAAAATGTGTCTGTTGATTCATATATCATCTTGTTGAAATTAAATTTTTTGGAAGTGAACCGACACGACAAAAACCTAGGCGCAGCACGATCTTCTTACCTATGTTTTCGCCATCGTGACATTTCTACTTAACAAAGCTTTGCCTAGTAAATATCGATTAACCTTAATAATGCGAGTGTAGGACTGAAAAAGACATTGAAAAAGAAACAAATATAGGGAGGGATAGAGGCGACATATAGAGAGATAGAACGAGAAAGCGGAGAAGAATGCCGTTGCGTTAATATATTTGCCGTGGATAGTTTTGTGAAGTATCATTCACAGTTGAAAGAATCCACTAAATTTTGCTGGGATTTGACTCGAGTGGTTTCTGCTACGATGAGCTTTGTTATAAAATGTGCGTATGAAAATTTAATTAATTTCCATATAGATGGCCCTTCTTAGCGATATTGAAAATCTTTGTGCGTCGACGCCCTTCTGATCATTTCTTTTAGGTGCTGAGACGCTCAAAGGGTTGAACAATCTGAAGAGCACAAATCAGGAGACGCCAGAAATCTAAAGTGACTTTAATATGTGTCGTATAGAAATATTTCAGTTATAAATTTTCGAAGAACCCGAAAGAATTATGAAGATTCTGTAAAAGCGGTCTGAAAATGTAAGATGAAGTATTGTCATTACTCAATGAAATATACGTACGCGTTTCTAATGGGTTCTTCAAACTTCGACGTGTAAGAAGCGTCACGAAAAATAATTTCAGCAAATTCATCAATCTGTCACGTTACTCATCATTTTCCCGCGTCTTTCCGAGCAGTCCAAATAGCTCTTGAAATCTTTCCCCCAATTAATATAAATGAAGATCCGGTAGTCATTACAATTGTTCTTTATATGGGGAATGCATTTCAGTGCGCGCGCACACACACACACATATATATATATATATGAAGAAATATAGTTTTAAGGTGTGCTATATTTATGGGATAAAGTGCTCAATATCAAAGATAGAGCGTATGTAAATATAAAAGTGAACATTGAAGTCAACACTCAGAGGCGACAGGCTGTTTCATGCTAGACACAGTCTTCAGGCCGCCGATTGTATCTAGCGTGAAACAGCATGTCGCCTCTGAGTGTTGTCTTCAGTGTTCACTTTATATATATATTTTAAATTGTAGGTTTGACGATTTGGATCGTGATTACGATTCCAATGTAATAATTATAACCATGGAATATTAGTGTTTGAGCCTTTTTATATATATATATATATATATATATATATATATATATATATATATATATATAGATAGATAGATAGATAGATAGATAGATACATAGATAGATAGGAATGGAGTTTTAATTTATTAATCTCAAATGTTTCAAGTTCATGCTTAAATGTTATTTTAATGCATACTCATATTAAATAATTTATTTATTTCTATCTACCGGTCTGAATATCCAAGAAATCTTAGATAAATATGCATCCACCGATGGAATTCGAACCTGCGTTCCCCTACGGGAAACCGTTATTAGATCTGGCGTATTTTGATCTCTCGGCCATGAAGAACCTATCGGGCAAAGCGAAAGTCGATTTCCTGCCACAGAACGCATATTTTTCTAATAAAATTTTTCGGAGATTCAGGCCGGTAGATAGAAATAAATAAATAAATAAACAGAGCGTCCACTCAAATATGCGTATCCATTAAAAATAATGTTAAAGCAATAAATTAAAATGCATATATGTATGCATGATAAAATATTTATGATGGGATATTTATCGGCAAAAATGCACAATATCCATCGATTGCATATAACCATGACACAGAGTGTCGCCGTTTCAATGTTCACCTTTCATGTATATATATATATATATATATATATATATATATATATATATATATATATATATATATGTGAAGGTATTATAAGAATTTGTACGTATATATATATATATATATATATATATATATATGAAGGTATTATAAGATTTTGTACGTATATATATATATATTTATATATATATATATGAAGGTATTATAAGATTTTGTATATATATATATATATATATATATATATATATATATATATATACATATATATATATATATATATATATATATGTACAAAACATTTTTTTTAATAGTATTCGCGAGATTTTTATTTTTTACGTTAATTTTTTAAAGGAATATATCAGCGAGTGGGAAAATTTGAAATAATTTTAATTCCGATGAGATGAGGTATTATGTACACTACTTTCATCATTCGGACTATTGCCCTCATCTTTGACGCCATATTTATTACAACGTTTCGGCCGTTGTACGCTCCGGCCTTCTTCAGTTGGCTGGAATGTCGCACTGAACCCTTCATTTCGATCGCTTGGGTAGACTGTTCTAGTTCCACCCGCCATGTCTACTTGATGTCAGTGATCAGTTATCTCCTGTTTATTCCCCTTTCCATGTTTCCCACCGCTTTAACCAGGTATTTTCAGTGAATCTAACTAATGCCTTTATCCACTGTTCCATGTGTCCTTAAGGACATCTGTATATGAATTTCTGGGAATGATAAACTTAATGTCTTCAGCAACCTTTTTTACCAGTGCTCATATTGTAATTTTTGCTGTTATTATTTGGTTTTTTTTTTTTACCAGAGATTTTATGTATTAGATTATTCATCTTCTTAAATTCTAAGATTTATAGTTTCTCCTCCATGTACAGATTTTTGCTTTTTCTTGAATAACGAGAAACTTTAATAATAATAATAATAATAATAATAATAATAATAATAATAAGAAGAAGAAGAAGAAGAAGAAGAAGAAAAGAATTAACATTTCTTTGAGCAACAAAGACAGGATGTTATGAAGGGCCATAATCAACTATTTCACCAGAAACACGGCACATAAAATAATTGCATTTACAATTTCAAGTGAAAATAGTAAAGTTTGAAACGTCATTCTAGACAATGATAATCACTTCAAATTACCTTCATAATGTCTACGTGGAATGAACTTAAGAAACAGGTTTTAATAGACATCCGCAGATACTGAAATATTATCATTATTGTTATTATTATTTTAGATTTTTTTATCTATCTATCTATCTATCTATCTATCTATCTATCTATCTATCTATTATTATTATTATTATTATTATTATTAGTGAAAACCCCTGGAACGAAATGGTCTGGGCAGATGCAATTCCTTCTCTAAATTCCAATTCATCTAGTCCACTTTCTTATGATTTTGGCAAGGTTCTAAATTTACCAACTAGCAGGGCATGGCCCTAACCTTCATATTTTATAGTTTCCTCAGCTCCCGGGCAATATCCTGGCATTTTTCCAAGTTTTTCCTTCCTTTCGTCATCACTTTGTGTTCACTAACATAGCCACGCCTACAACATAACAATTCTCTTTTATTTGTTCCAACTGTCATATTCGGTTTAAGCGATTGGATGAGATATCTTGTGGATTTTATTTTAAAGGATAACCTCTAATTTGTTCTTAAATTCTGTTTTACATGTTCGGGGTCAAACCGCTTGCCGTTTCGAGTGCATGGCCAACTCTAATCTGCAGTGTCTATCTGTATATTCAATTACTACACTGCTATTTCCACCAGTAGTAGCTGGTGACTTATACAGCAAGTTTTGACCAACACAATTTGTTAATATTCTGCCTGTTTGCATAATAACTCCCCTGTAAAGATTGCTAACTTCAAGTTCCGCAGGTTACTTTCCATTAACATCCTTAGGAATTCATTTCTTCCCTTTTCGACTATTGGTGAAATCATGTTAGATTGATCTCTTTAGCTTTTATAGGGCAGAAGGGTTCCTCAGATGAACTACAACGGCTAAATGTTCGTGACCAAGGCCAACCACCTAGTCGAAGTATTGGTTGTGTTCTAATTTGGAGAGGGATGGGCTTTGCCAGGTTAAAACGCTCAAGACAGGCCACATGATGAACACACACACACACACACACACACACAAAAACATTCACGGGGACCTAGGACTTGACATACGACTGTGACATATAATGGAGACAGGTAGACAGCTCAGCAAGTCGGTGTCCAGACGGCTCCTACCTGGGTTAAGGGCAAAAGCCTAACCAATCGAAGGGCAAAATTCTAGGGCAAATATGAACAGAAAACCGCGATAAAGTGCACCGGAGAACAATCATAACAATTCATAATTTACGGATATTGAAGAAAAAGGAAACTGTGAAGAGCCTTGATCACATATGGTAATTACGAAGGAGGAGTAAGAACATCACAGTATATGTCAGTTAAAGCCTTCACCATAGTTTAAGTGAAATAGATATCTAAATAATAATAAAAAAACATTGGTAGTTTTGATAAAGACGGCATCAGTTTAATTGGTTGGGCCGTTTTCCTCCCTTCCCGAAATATCCTATACCTAGGTTTCTCGATATGCGTACAAAGTTTGATACGCAGATTTCTACGTTTGTGAAAAAAATGTTACCTGTCTATCAATCCAGGTGTTATCTTTGTCGAGAAGAGCCCAGAATGATAATCTCAGTCCCCATCAGTTCGGTAATTTATCAATTCAAATGTCAGTGCGACGCTTACTCTCTAGGATTCGTCCATGCTAAGAATATTGCTGTCACGTACGGTCCGGTGCTCCTGATATTTGATAAAATCGAAAAGAAGCATCAGCAATATTATTGGCCTTGTTCTGGTCCCTCGGCTTCAGTCTCTATCTCACCACCGTAAGCTTGCATCCCTGTGCTCTTTCTAGAAATAATTTTATGGTAATTTTTCCGGTGTGCTCTTCGCTATTGTGCCTAGACTCTTTAATTTTAAGCTCAGTACTTGACTGGTGACGTGGTCTTTTTGCGGAATTTGAGCCCAATTGGATGTATCAGAAGGCGTAATTGTGTGAAGGCTTAAAAATGTGCGTGTACGTTAAACATTCATTCACAACAAATAAAATAAACATTTGAAGGCAATTCAATTGGAAGAAATCAAGGAGAAATAACGTAGTTATAGATTTCGACAAATAACATGCATTTATATACGTTTGACATACACAAAGTGAATTTAAGATTGCTTGTTCAATGTGATAAGTGAGATAAAATTGTAAGGAGTGACCATGCAGCGATTTGGTGTATGAAAGCTTATACTTAAGGTTTGTCTATGAAATTAAAACAGTTTGATTTTTGCAAGGTGAAATGTCACTTGTGAGGGTTCAAATATTAGATTGTATGTGTGCGACAATTGTAAATATTGTTTAAAGTCATAAGGAGTTATGTGCCTTTGACTAAATGATGTAAGTTGACTAAATACAATTACTACTTCGGTAGTGATAATGTCACTT